GCACAGCATACAGGTCCAAAGCCCAAAGAAAAAAACCGATACGAGTAATCAACTAACTAAAAAAGTGCTCAATACAAAGTAGAGCAGATTCAGATCAGTCAAACCTAGAGAGCCAGACAAACCTACCAAGGTTTCACCTAAGCGGATCGTCAGGAAAGCTGGTTTGTCTGGCTCTCTAGGTTTCACTATATATATATATATATATATATATATATATATATATATATATATATATATATATATATATATATATATATATATATATATGTATGTATGTGTGTGTGTGTGTGTTTAAAACGTTATTTTCAGTTGATACTCACCATACTTGAGTAGGCCTTTTGCTTAATTTAAACATTTATTTCGTCTACGGTATGAATATTCAACAAATCTTATTCACGTGAATGCACTCTCCAGTAGGATTCGAATCTGCCTTCAGCTTTGTAGTAGAAACTGTCGTCTCTAAAAAGAAAACGAAACCTTCCACTCTACAAATATTTTCCGGGTTTAAATAACCCGCAAAATTTTGATGACCCGGAGAAAATTAATGAATCAAATCACATATTCTATCTGTGGTATTCTCAGCATTTTTCTGTAGAACCATATCTCTGCCGTTTTCATTTGCGAGCAGATTGTTTGTTTGTTCTTTCTTGTCTGCCATATTGAATATTAGATAGTACACAACAGTGCAGCTTTCTTTGCTTCGTATTGAGAAATCGGGGAGCAGATTTCGAATTCCAGTCGAGTTCACTTACGTGCTATTAACCTTGGGAAAACGTATGAAACCATCTCTTCAATGAGTAAAATAGCAGGACAGTCTATAGTCAAGAAGAAGGAAAACTTTTAATTCAAACCACCTATTTCCTCTTTAGGGATGTAGACAGTTGATCGTAGCCTTCTCAATTCCATAGAAAAAAGAACAGCAATAAGATGTATGAGACTGAGAAGTCGTCTATTTTATTAGCTAGAAAGATATCCCAGCATGCATCTGTATGTCTTGTCTTTGTGGAGGTGGAGGATGATTTTGCAGAAATGAAGGCACGGTGGAATAACAGCGGCTCGAACTGAGGAGTCCGAATTTCGTTCCAGTTAATTACATTCACTTACGTTCTAATGCACTTGGGAAAGGTATGAATCTATCTCACCCCCACCCCCACCCCAGCCAACTATGGCTAAATACCAGGACAGACTATCTCCTTCAGCCTGTTTTGGCAATCGGTCTCGGAGAAGAAACAACTTAGAATTCAAAGCCACCCTGGAGAGGTTTGAGTTACGCCAGTCTATCTTGCCGGGGAAACAACACTGCTGTTGCGGCTTCAGTACATTTGATGCCCCTATGAACCTAGGCGTTTACGGGTCAATAAGTAAATCATACGCATTTTATCATTTAAAAAAATAGTGCAAAATAATTATTGAATTACTGGCATTATGTAGAGACGGACCTATCTTCATTAACGAATGCTTGAATAAAGACTACGTCAGACGTTACTATTCAAGTCATTCCTCATTCAAATTGATATCGTTTCTCTTCTCTGGCTGAGAAGGTCCTTTTAGTTAAACGTAGGCCTTCCCCAGATACATTACTTTACCTCCTGACCCAGTGAGTGTTGGTAAGAGCAGATGGCTCCCCTGTAGGTTACACAGATGCAGTGAAGGTCGGATAACAACAAAGATGAGGACAATAGTCCGAATATAAATAGTGTAAATAATAATAAATCTTCATCACAGAAACCGAAATTATTTACTCATATCTACAAAACATAACTTGTATTCATATATAAGTATTTTCCTATGCATATATATGGTCTAGATATGTCATATTCATATTTTAATAAATATTCAAATGAGGAGAAAATGGCAATGCAGAAGGGGTAAAATAAGACATAACTATAAAACCACGAGTTGTTCTCTTTTTTAAAGACCTAATAAAAGTAAAAATTAAATATAGCCTAGAGCAGGCTAGGCATATATTCCAAGTATATCAATTTGGGATGAGCGTTTTCTTGTTTTTTGTTTCTTTTAGGCATTTCACACCAAGTAAGGCAATAAAGCCACTAAGACAAACTTAATGTAACTGTAATTGTTAAAATGGTGACTTTTTTTTAAAAAAGTGTGAACTCGCTCTGTTATGATTATTTTATTATAAATTATTATTTTAAATTTAACAGTTGTGGTTACGATGTTTTGTAAATTAGCGTTCACAATGCAAGGGGGTAATCAGAAATGATAAAATGCAACATGATGTTAAATGTTAGTCAACTGAAATGCATTTTAAAATGCTACTTCACCTCGCTTTCCTTGATGAATTTCAACTTAGCATGAAGAAGATAATTCGAGAAGTAGAAAGGATTATTATAAAATAGACATAATATGTCTATATTATTTTATACACACACACATGCACGCACGCGCACACATACACACACACACACACATATATATGAGTGTGCAGCTTATATTTTATGTAATAAAGAAACAATTTATACAAAGCAATGTTAATGCGATCAATGGCGAAATCACTTCGCTTACAAGACTTAATGAGACATTAACTCAATTTCAATTCCTTGAATAATAAGAGCCTTATATTCGAGTTATTGTCAGATGGAAGACACATGCCAAGTACTTTCGATAATCTCAAATTGTTATCTTCAGAGCGCAATTTTCTCCTACACATGTAAACACTACAACGAAATATGCGTAGACCGAAAGATGTTTTTTTTTTAAATTATGCTATTTATTGACAGTTAAATATACGCTTTGGCAGCTGTGACGCTGGTGTTCTTCTTCAGACTGATCAAGTGAAAAGATTTTTTTGACCTTTGAAAAGTTATAAATCCACGGAATTTTTCTTCTTAACAGTATTCATCTGTTAAAGGGAAAAGGATTTAGTATAATGCAATTGTAAGAGTAAAAATGTCTTAGTAGTTTTCTACAGAATCTATAAATATTCCTCTGTATGTATTTTGAATTAAGATGTAAAATGTTAGCGTAGACACTAATATTGATTCGTCAACACCGTGAATCATGGAAGAAGTTAGCGCTTGAGAACTAATCGTCTCTTACAACTTTTTGTTGCCGCGATTTTTAAAGACATGGTCCTTATGATTAATCTCTACACTTTTATTATTATGAAATTAATAAGAAGCACAATACGGTTAACGAGCTATAAAGGAAAAAACCCCAAAAAGAACAGGGATCTACTCGGAGTGGGCTGATTTAAAATTTAATATATATATATATATATATATATATATATATATATATATATATATGGGGGTGTAAAAATAAGTAAATAAATAGAAGAAAAAATATGGATGAAATTAAGGAAATACTCAGTATAAATCATTGGAAAGACACAAAAGTACCATTAATTGGTTCAACAGTATTGCAAACAAAAACAATTGTTCTTTTATACAATTAGATATTAAATACATTTTTCCTTTCAATCCAGAGTATATATTAAATAACGCATTAAATATAACATATAATGAGAACATTGATGTAACATTGGGCAGTTATGATGGCGCCGTGTCGTCATTTTAAAAGTATTTACTTTGTAACTTGAATAAAAATATAACATAAACTAATAAATATAACGAAAATAAAATAATTCCAATTTATGTTATAATTGGAAAAAAAAATTAATTGAAAAAAATATTACATTTATGAACGAACGCATAAGCAAATGCAAAACTCATGAACATGCGCGTGTATATAATGGAACTGAAAAGATGAAAAGACTAAAACGTAAAAATACGCGGAAATAAGTAATCGGAAATGTATTTATTTAATTAATGGACTCTTTAAAAGTGGATGTTTCTACGAAACTTCGAAGTCGGAGGCAAAAGAAAAAAATACCAAGTATCGATATGTACATTTGCAGTTAAGTAAATTTCTGTATAAAATAATGCTATCAATGTGCTATTTTTAATAATGAATACTGTATGAAGAAGTCGGCTTTCCTTAAATTTGGGATTATTACAGTTTTAAATCTTCTTCATTATATATATATATATATATATATATATATATATATATATATATATATAAATAAACTTCTGGTTTCTGATGGTTGGTACTGATGAGGGAATGTGATTTATTGTCTCTCTTATCCTCAAAAATACCAACGTATTTTCCTTAAACACAATTTTCAATCCGACTTGGAGAAAGTATAAGTGAATATACATAATATCCAATGTCGAGAGTACGAGTCGCTGTTTCATGCAGTCTTGTAATCTTTCACAAGGTTGCAAGACTGTTTTAATGAGAAATAACATATAAATCCTATTATAATGAAATAAATATTAAGGATGTAAAACTTAGAGCAAAATATATTCCCCTTTTCAATCCCATCATTTTATATTTTGTATTTTTTAGCTTTTCACAAAAAATGCTAGGATATGGATAATAAACAATTCATTACGATATTGAAAATTATTTGCTCAAAATGACTGATACGGTTTAATTTATTCGAAATTAAACACAACAAAAAAATAAACTTTGAACTTTTTTAAATGCAAAACTACTCGGACCATCAATAGTATTTTATTCGAAAATTAAAACAAATACAATAAAAATTAAACAAAGTTTATCGAATTTAAAACTTTTTCAAGTGAGGAATTTTTAGCATATCGTATATATTAATATTTATAGCTAACTAGATAGTTACATAGATAAATATGAACAGAATTAAACATGTATAGACAGTATTAGAGATAGATAATTATATATATATGAACAGAATTAAATTTATATGAAGATACTGTGGTATATATATATATATATATATATAGAGAGAGAAAAATGCGAACATGCTGATAGATAGATAGATAGATAGATATGAACATATGAAGATACTATGGTATTTCAGTAGATATACAGATACATGCATACATAGATAAATAGGTGGATAGATTCGGATGAGAGATACTTGAATATGTACAGAATTAAATAAATATGAAGATAGAGTGGTATGTATGTATGTATGTAAGTATTGTCGAGAATTAGATGTGGACAGACTGAGATAGATAGATAGATAGATAGATAGATAGATAGATAGATAGATAGATAGATAGATAGTGTTGTGGTACGATCCACCTAATTTACATAGTGGAGTACCGACCATATAAATATGGTTGGTACCGGGAAGACGGGGGAGGAAGAAGAGATCCAATCCAGAGACTCTGCCCGACTGCGACTAAGTTAACCCATTCTACAGGAACGGTCTTCCCAAGAATATACCAAAACTCTCTGTAAATATTGTGTACACTTTCTTTGTTCAATACATTTTGTTTCAGTACATTTTGTGTTGTATTATTATTATTCCATGCTTTATTCAAGTTTCAACAGATAGATAGATAGATAGATAGATAGATATGAGCAGTCTGAGATAGATAGATAGATAGATAGATAGATAGATAGATAGATAGATAGATAGATAGATAGATAAAAATCTGACACACGGAGCTGCGAACTGTGAATGTTAAACAGATTAAACCACTTCAGAGAGAGTCGAAGTTTTAGATGGCTTTGATGCATAGATAGATAGATAGATAGAAACCTACTGTGAGATAAATCGAGATAGATAGATAGATAGATAGATAGATAGATAGATAGAAACAGACCTATAGATAGATAGATAGATAGATAGATATAAACAGACCGATAGATAGATAGATAGATAGATAGATAGATAGATAGATAGATAGATAAAAATAAACAGACCGATAGATAGATGGATAGATATCGATAGATAGATAGATAGAAATAAACAGACCTATAGATAGATAGATAGATAGATAGATAGATAGATAGATAGATAGCGACTTAAGTGAGATACATAGTAACATATCTTGAAAGATATTAGACCAGTGGTTTCACAACTGCCGTCCCACGGAACACTAGTCCACTGAAGTTTGCTGTCGAAATATTGTCCCCCCCCCACACACATATGCACACGCACACACACACACATATACACACACACGTGTGTGCGCGTGTGTGTGTGTGTGAGTGGAAGTTGCAATGGTATAGCATTTCTATTTCAACAAATAGTTGCATAGAAACATTGAAATAAAATAAGGTCATAATTGTGTGTGTATTTTTTCTTTTGAATCGATAGTTTATTTCATAAAATTTAAATATATAACCACGAAAAATTTTCCTAAGTGTGTCCTGATATTTTCATTTGCTCCTCGCTGTGCCGATGCACAGTATCATACAAAAATTTAGATATAGATCGATACACATGAACATGCTGAGATTGATTATTAACAGACTAGAAAACAACTTACGCACAAAAGAAAATGCTTAAACATTCGAAAACACAAGGAAAATTAATTCCTTTTAATAATATGCAGAAATAACCACTCTTTGACTGATGAAGGCCACGAGACCAAAAAACGTGTAGCACATATATGGAAAACATAGTATAATACATATTTAAAAAATCCACATTATAAACAAAAACGTTTGCGGTTTGTCTCCTATCGTAATCACGACCCAATTCATCAGGCATACAAGTTAAAAAATATAGAAAGAAAAAGTGATAATGGATATACAAGAATAGATATTTGAATAAGGATAAAAAGAAGGTAAATAAAGAAACAAACATGCAATAAATGCGTTAAAAAGGCATTTAAATACTTGTTCAAATTGCAGCTAATTTCCGTAAAGTTTGATCCAAGAACAATGTCGACAAAACTTTGCTTTGAAACATCAATTGTAATTTCTGACCATGAGTCTGATGCATTTACATTGTCTTCAAGCCACAAGGTTTCATCTGCTACGTTTCAAAATCTGTGTCAAAATCTACCCAATAGATTTTAATTCTGTTATCTCTGCACGAATCCGTCAGACAGATGGGGTTTTTTCGTCTGATTCTGTTTGCGTTGTCGTTTATTCGTACACACAAATACACATGCCTTATATGTGAACTTGATTTTGGTACAGTCGCACGGAGACACGAAAGCACACACACACACAGTTACACACACACACAGGGTAAAATATTTTGTCATTAAAATTAACCTGTAGAGACCAGAACGAAGGAAAATTCGAACGAGCCAAGTGAAGAGAATACGTTGGGTACCGGAAGGTTTCCTATTTCAAATTTTTAAGTTCCGTGGTGGAAAATGCCGGTTTGCCAAAATCGGCCGTTTTTCTTGATCCTAAGTCCCTTCAAATGTTGAAAGACCGTTTAGATATCAGTTTTCAGTCTCTTAACAATGTCTTCCGTCGAATGATCACTGGAGTGTGGTTGATCGTTTTCCGTTTATACACAAATATAGAGCGAGTTTTATGATCAGATATTCATGCAACAATTAGAGAGTTGCATAATACACAAGTATTTTTTTGAAGAGGTTAAAAGTTATGCACATTTAGATATGAACAAAAACAAATGTACGGTATCCAAATCTTGGTACCAGATATTTTACGGTAATTGGTTTGCTTACCATTGTAGAATAGCTTTATACATAAAAAAAAAAGATTGAAGGCCATTTATTTGCTGACCCACAACTAAAGATCGAACTGAAAGAATACAAATTAGCATAAAGATTCTCTGATAGAGTAATTCATTAATTATAATGAATTACTCAACCAGAGATCTGAATTACTTAATGTTTGCAGGCATAAAAAAAGCCTTTTTACATGGTGAATAGAATTTGGGCCTTTTTAATGCTATTTTTATACATTATGGTGGCCGCTTTATCAATAAAATGTCGTTTGGGCCTAGCCTCTTTAGACAGAATTATCCTGATGATCCGGTAGGTAAAACGTAGGTAGATAGGTTCTGGCTCTTTAGGTTTATATATATATATATATATATATATATATATATATATATATATATATGTGTGTGTGTGTGTGTGTGTGTGTGTGTGTGTGTGTGTGTGTGTATTTTATTGTCCGGTTCCTTGTACCGCGGGGATAGTCCAAGGTAGAACTAATAAAGAAGAACTCGAAGGCGGATATGGAATAACACAAATATATTACAAACAGGAATATATACAGAGAAGAAGAAAGTGTTAGTAGGAACAATCAGGTTTAATATGGAGAACAATGTAGTCTCGGCCAGTACCACTATTCCAATGTCTTGCAGTAATTGTCTGAACGCGACTCTGTTTCGGACTGCCTCTGACTCGACTGACTGACTCGCTCACTCTGACTGACTTACAGACTTCTGACGGACTTCACTCCAGACTTTAGACTCACCCCCACCACCACCACGAGTATAAACGGGTTCTGGGTCGGTTTACCTCCCCGAAAGAGACTCCGCCCTTCGGCGTAGCCTCGTTCGGGTTCCTCCCCGCCCGAAAGCAGAGAGTTCAACCGATCAGCCGGTCAGCCGGTCGCCCGACTTCGGATTGAACTCCCTGCTTCCTCTTGAGGCGCAGTATTTATTAAGTATGGAATAGTCCATTATGTTATTATGGGTAAGGTGCCATAGCACACACACATTTAGTCTTTTTGCTATCTCTCCGAAACCTTGTTCCGCCATCCGTTTACTCAATTTCACTAAGTAGTTTATGCGCTGTTTTCCTCTTTCCCTCTTGCCTTTTCATTGGTCTTGTGAGTATTTAATTTTCAAAGTCCTATTTCCTCCCTATGTTCCGTAGATATCTCAACTGTCTCTTCCTGATTTGAAGTATAAGCATGTTTTTGTTTCCATCTACTCTAAAAACTCCAACTTACCAATCTTTTAAATTTCTTTTTCGACTCTCCTATAATCTTTGTTCAGTTTTCTCACAATTTCCAACGTTGTGTTTCAAGCGCAAATTAACACTGTAAAATTTTGTTTTTCTTTTAAGAATGCATCAATCTTACTAGCCATTTAATTATCTAAAAAAATATGACTGGGTCACGCCATAATATGTCATCGGAGTCACATTTCCTCTGTCTTCCAAATTTAAGGATGATGCTCCACAGGTTTTTCCTAAGAACTGCTCCATTTTTTTGGTTAATTTGCAGAATAACACCCACGCTACAGAATACTTATATTAATGTATAATTGCACATGCTCCATTCGAATCTTGATAAATTTGATAAAATCTACCGTTTTGGAGTTATCGACAGTGAAAGTTCGGATCAATCGCGTCGTTGGCGGCAAGCATTATTTGCCTTGTTTGCATACTTTCGCTGCGGAAACGCGGAAGACTACGGAGAGCTATCCGTGGAACTAATCTTTCTTGTTTAAATTTGTCTCGATTACTGCGCACGAGAACTATTTACGTAGATACGCTCAGTATACACAATGATACCTACACTGATAGCTATTCTGCAGCGAATATATGCAAAGAACGCCAGTAATGTCTGCCCGCGACGCGAATGAATCCGAACTTTCACTGTCGATAACACCAAAACTAGATTTTATCAAATTTATCAAGCCAGATTCTAATGGAGCATGTACAATTACACATAAATGTAAGTATTTTGGAAATTTTTAATGCAAACTGAGCGCGGGTGTTACACTGCAAATTAACCCTTTGTTTAACAGACTCCTGCGTAGATGCTTCCCAGTACACTAAAATCGTAAACTTTCAAGTCAAGAGTCAAACGTTATCTATTCTCCATACCTTCCTAATCATCTCCTTATATTAATATTACGTATCTTAATCAGTAATGCTCTACCTTGAGTGATTCTCGAGCCTTGTATTAAGAGTACTTTCGTAAACAAATAATTAAAAAATAAGAATCAATAGGTGTATTATTAAATGTATTTTTTTTTACAATATAATAAACAACACTGGTGCTCACATAATAAAATCTTATACTGCCAAATAAACTAATGTAATAAAAATTCTAATAAAATAAATATTACGAGTTGAAATGATATCAACATTTTATTAATACTAATTTTAATGTGAAAATGTTGACTTACGTAATCGAGTTACACTGAATGGACCTCACTAACAGGTGAGTGTGTCATTCGTGGAAATAGTTGTACTACATGACTTAAAAGACAATAAACGGGAGGTGAAGTTGTGTAGGAAGATGAACAACCTTCTCTACACTAATTGTTGAACATGGACTCGTCTATCTGTTATTGTGAGAATGTCTGCTTATATGAACGGTCGTAGCAAAATGGGTTCCAATGGGTAGTGTTTAAGTCGTACTTATTGCCATACCGAACTACAGTATTTTCTATTAGTGTATCATAACTCCATGTCTCTCATATGATTAAATCTGTTCTTCCCTCAACATTTTATTCCAGTGTTTCCTTGCCCTATTATTAATAACAAGAACTAAGAAAGTTATACAAACTTTATAACGAAAGTAATACTTTCGGCCCTTTCAGTCTGAGGCCCTGTGTGCCGATGGGTGAACGTATAACGTCGCCATCACCAGTAATCACTCCAAACAGCATGATGTTGACGGGATATTTGATTTTTACCAAACTCGTTACATCTTTTGGGAGAAAAAAACGGTCGTTCTGTGTGTTCCCCATATTCTCCTGACAGAAATTTGTCTAGTCTGACAAAAACCATGTTCGGGTGGAGGGGATGTTTGAGTTTGTTCAAAAGCTTCGTAGCGCAGTATTTCCTCTTGCCCTTCATGGCTTGGGATAAAGATCTCTCCTTTCTCGACTTGCATGCGAAATACTGAATGTTTTCCCGCACTGCCTGCCTGATAACAAACTCAGGCACTCCGGTGTCCCTGGCTACAGACCTGGTTGGCTTAGAGGGATGGTTCTCAATCATGGTCTGGATCTCACCAACAAATTCGGGAGACCTTTATATATCAGAGCAATCAAAGTGATTTTTCCGAGCTGCTTCACATTTGTAATCACTATCAGACTCATCCGAGTCCTTCCGTGCACTGTCCTCAAATTGATGGACAAACAATCTGAAATGTTCCTATTGGACCTTCCGGAGTTTCCAAATTTCTCGCGGAGTGAATTGCGTCTTGGTGCAATTCTCACAGACGGTGTCCAAATATGGCGCAAAAACAAAAACACACAACGCGCATGCGCAAAATTAATAATGTAAAATGGCGACAATTTACCCATCGCGCTCAGTATATGTATATTTCTAGAGATAATGTACATCCTTGTGCAAATTAGTTAAAACAACCGCTTTAGTTTCCTTTCTTTCAATATACGGTCAGTTTTAAACACAATGGAGTGACAAGGTGTAATCGATTTCTATTTTTCCTCAGATTAATTCATTTACAGTGATGTGCATCCATTTTCGGGGTGTATGATGAAATTTGTTTGGCCTTCTTTATCTATTTACTCAAAAAAGCGTACGAAAATTGTAACGCTGCGCGAACACACTGGCAAACCTTACCAGTGATCAATTGAAAGTACTATAGACTGGCACGGGTACTCTCCTGATTTAAATCCAATCTGTGGTCAATCTTCAAGGGACGACTTCGTGGAATGGACATCCGAATTACTAACATGTGCTCTGGGTCATGTTTCATTGGCAAAATACGAAAAATAGTAAATAATAGCTGAATGATTCATTTTTTTTTCAAATTATTTGCACAAGGGTGTATCTTCAATTGCGCAAAATTAAAAATATAAAATGGCGACAATTTACCCATCGCACTCAGTATACGTATATTTCTAGAGATAATGTACACCCTTATTGCCCTTGTGCAAATTAATTGAAACAAAACGAATAATGCCGTTATTATTTACTTTCTTTCGTATTTTTCCAATGAAGCTTGACCCAATGCACATGTTAGTATTTCGTATATCCATTCCACGAAGTCGGCCCTTGAATAACGACCAGAGATTCTCGATTGGATTTAAATCAGGAGAGTTTCCGCGACACACTATAGTACATTGATTTGATCACTGTTAAGGCTTGCCAGTGTGTTCATGCAGCGTTACAGTTTTCTTCCTTGGCGTAACGTCCATAGCAGACAATGGCCGTAGGGCAACTAATCGACAGTCGAGACAACAGTGTCTGGGCGTGATAAAAATCTTATGCAATAACGGATGACACAATATTTTTCAAGGCCAAACGAATTTAATCATGCACCCCGAAAATAGATTCATATTACTGCACATAACAGCAAATGCCCTAATATGAGGAAAAATAAAAATCGATTACACCCTTTCACTCCAGCGGGTCTAAAACTGACAGTATGGTGAACCACATGAGACTAAAGCGGTTGTTTCAATTAATTTGCACATGGGTGTATATTCCCCAAGTACAAATTTTACAGAGCTCCATAAAATAAATAATGTGATCTTATTGTGTGACGCTAGATATTTGATGACATTTTCACGCGGCAATACGAACCTTTCGGCAACACCCATCTCCTCCCCACGTAGTCGACAGCAGACTGTAATGGCTTGCAT